TTTATGTGTCATCCAAATGTGCATTGAGTTTGACCTGTGCAGTTACCGGGTCGGCTTAGGCATACGATATTATACGCTATCCTATATAATTCTTTGGTCGACTTATAATGTGCAACAACATGTTGCGCATTGTAGTCCTTTACAGGAATGCAATTCGAACACCCAGGGCCGCAGCGATGCGCACGGTTGCCTTGGAGACGTTTCCAGTATATGGCAGTGGTTGCCATGTAATCGGTGGTGGCATCGGCTAATAAACGCCATCGGACAGAGGTTCCGTATAAATTGGTGATGGGGATACCGGACTTTGCGTACGCTTACGTCAGGGTTGATGAAAGAAGTCTGAATCCGTCTAAAAAGCAGTATTCGGGGTTTTCGCTTGGAAAGCATCATTCATATGAGTGTGCATTTCAACCTAAATTATAGATAAATGTAGGGGAACATAAGCTACTGCACACTCAAACATTTAGCTGAAGTCTTTGCAACAGGTTTCCCATTTACTTTCATTGTCTACAAAATCTTTCAATATTTCCGTTATTCTAGTGATCTCGCTGTCTAAAAAGATGCGAAACGACACAAACGCTCCATCGCAACAAGAAATGCACGAACATAACACCTTTTATATTCTTGTTCCTACAATTTTTCTAAACATAAGGCGCGTATGTGCTTAATTATTTTGTACACCGCTTATTTTTACCGCATATTTACAAAAAATAAAATTAACCAGATTATGCCGTTTTTTAACGAAAGTGGAAAATTTTACTACTGCACCGTCAAATTTCGGCATTTTCTGCAAGTAATGACGTAACGCTGTCATGAGCAGAAGGCTATGAATAGTTTTCTTTGTCTCAGATCCCACAAATCATTACCTTATATGTATAAGCGGTTAAGGATAACCAAGAATAAAAGAACCTCTACATTCCTTTCCCTTTAAATCAAACTCGGGTTTGGATTAAAGTGTCCTATCTGACCTCAAGGCACCTTATGAGAGCCTACCGGTACTACAATAATATTGGTTTGAAATTTCATAGATGAGAAGGAACCTTATTTTAAAACGTGAACAGGAAATAAGAAATTATTGTGATATGTGTGATCTTCCAATGTATTTCAGTGGGAGGAAGAGTAAGATTACTATTAGAGGTAGGCCTTAGGTGTGTTTCGACTTAGAATTAACAGAAAATTGATTACCGAAGTAAAGCAGAAAGATATATTAGGTATTCGTTCGCTCCGGAGGTTGCTCGGATATGCCAGCGCAAGACTCAGCATGA